TTTCAGAGTCGGATAAAATACAAATCATGAACTTCTGGCTTTCACTCCGCCTCAGTTATCAGTTCTGACAAATAAAAATCACGTTTCAGCTGCAGCTCCTGCAAGAAGCACATTCTGCAAACGGTTTTACTCACGTGATGTTAAACGACCACAAATCTGAGTGATTCAAATGTAATTCTGACTTTTTCCAGCCCATCAGCAGAGGTGCTGTAACACAAACACAGAGAACTGTAAAAAGCTCATCGTTATAGTTAAAACCTGCTGGGAAGCACTTTCTGCCCTGGAGCTGTCCTCTTCATCGTTCCTCCAGAGTCTGCCTCCATGTTGCTTCTTGTTGTGCACATTCTTACGACACATTGCGTTACTTTGCACATGTGTATTCCCTGGATGCAAAACAAGCATTTGCAATAAATATATAATCATCCTTTAGGCTACTATAAATTATTTTATTGTGTTTGCATTCAGAAATCCTCCTTACTCCTCCCATTTCAAATGTGATAAATATGAATTATACTGATGTAGTTCTGTCTGTTATTTAGAATAATTATTTACAGTCTGTTCTTGTTGTTGTGTTAGACCACTTCTTATTATACCATTTAATATACTGGCAGTAAAGTTATATTATCTAAATCTCATTGTTGGTGACTGGACTGACTATGGCAACATGATTCCAAAACATATATTTTTATTCAGACATTTTGTCTGAGTCAAAGTTCAATTATTTGGAAATAGTAGATAAAACTACTACTAGTACAGAAAACTGTTCCAGTGGTGTAAAACTACCACTGTACGGCTTTAGACCACCAATATGTACTGTTTTAAATTGTAAAGTTAAAATCCCATCCATCCAGCCATCCATCCATCCATCCATCCATCCATCCATCCATCCATCCATCCATCCATCATCTTTACCTGCTTCTTCCTTTCTGGGTCACTGGTGTCCATGTCCAGCAGTCACTGTGCAAGAGGCAGGGGACACCCTGGACATGTCTCCAGTCCATCACAGGGACACATATAGAGACAAACAACCTTACATCTTTTCTACCAAAATTAAGATATTCAGTCAGTTTAACCCAGCGAGGTCCAGCTCATTAGAAAGAAAGTGCTATGTGTTGTTGGGGATTCATCGGCCCCAATTTCCTTAATTTTGGGAAATCGGCGATTGGCCGATACACGAGAAAACGATTTTACCGATTTGTTCTAGTTTTAACAACAATTGTCTGAACTTCATTTATATTTCAGAGCACTACCTCATGGCCTGTTAAAACAAGTTTGTATTGTTTCTAGAATATTGTTCAAGGATATGTTTTTCAATAAAATAAGTTTGGAAAATTGAAGGTGCGTTGTGATCTTGTAACACCTGAAGGTGTCGCTTATAAAACAAAATCGTAATCTGCAGGTCAGACTTTTTAAAAATCGGTGATGGACCAGAAAACTGCAATGGGCGCACCCCTGATGTGTGTCAGGTATGTTCCCATACAAAGACAAAATTAGTTCTCTGCATTTCACCCATCACACCTGAGACACATCCAGGTGGAGAGTGGGCAGCTGTGTAAGCACCAGGGAGCAGCTAGGGATTAGGTGTCTTGCTCAAGGACACCACCACATGTGGGCATTTGAACCTACGTCTTCTGGTCCCAGGTCGGCTGCCCCACAGCGGCCCCCTGGGAATGTCTTGTAAAAAAAAGAACAAGAAAAGAAAAAGAGAAGCTAGACTCTTTTTTTTTGTTTGTTTCTTGTAAAATAATTGTAAAAAAAAGATCAAAGCCTCTTGAAAAGAAACCCCAGCATCATCAAAGAGCAAAAATCAAACAGGTGCAAAAATATTGTGGTTCATACATGTGGCAGGAATGTTGGAGACATTTTCCACAAACGATCTCCTTCCTGCTGCTCCTCAAACCGAACCACAGCCGCGCTCATCCGTGGGATTAAACTGCCAAACACGAACCCTTTAACTTTCTAATTATTGTTCCTCAGTGGAAAAATTAATTCAAAATTCTATTTTTTAAATATATTTTCCCCACAAACACGTAGTCAGTCTTTCAGAGCTATCTCAGACTGAAATGAAAATATCAAATTTAATGGCCTTTTTTTTAATTTGAACTCTTTTTAAGGGTCTTTTCTTGAAAAAAACGTGAGGTTTTATTGCGACTTATTGGAGAAATAAATTTTATTACGGCAAAAGAAAGACGTCACCCCCATTAGTATGCCAAAAATGATTTTTTTTTTTTAAACAAAACAAAACAAAAATCCAGTCAGGAGTTTTGTGAAGACCCTCCAGATCTGGTGGAAGAGACCATGGTTTGGTTGCATCCTGCCTCTCAGCAGTCACACATGGAAGCTTTTTCCATAATAAATAAATATATATATATATAAATATATATATATATTTAACTCTTCTTGTGTTAGAAATGATAATTTCTGATTTGTTTGTTCGCTTGTGACCCAGATATGCAGCGAGCTGCAGGAGCACCTGCTAATGATGTCCTGTTTGAGGAAACCACCAACAGTGAGCCGTGCAGCGTCTGATTCTGCAGCCTGCACGCATGTCCAACACATGTTTCATACTAAATGTTTACTTGTGCACATTAAGTGAGTTTTGCTCTTTACATCCAAACTAAAACAATTTAGTCTGATGAGATGAGAGGTGGGACTCCACAGCGACGTCTAGCTCGAGGACGTTCTGCTTCTAGGGCGAGTTGAACATTGTCAGATTTTTTCAGAGATTCTCAAATATAAAAGCAGAACACGACCTAGAGGCTTAATGTACAATTCAAACGTATAGGGATAGAGGTAAAAAGTAAAAGGATTATTGAGAGGAATGCATTATTTTATAATACGACAAAGATGGGGGAGGCACGGTGGTGCAGTCGTTACAGCTGCTGCCTCTCAGCGAGAAAGTCCCTGGTTCAAATCCTGGCCGGGGGCCTTTCTGGGTGCAGTTTGCATGTTCTCTCTGTGCATGCGTGGGTTTTCTCCGGGTACACCAGTTTCTTCCCCACAGACAAAAAACATGCATGTTAGACTGATTGGTAACTCTGAATTGTCCCTGGGTGAGAGAGTGAATGGTTGTTTGTCTCATTTGTCTCTGTGCGTCCCTGTGATGGACTGGAAACCTGTCCAGGGTGTCCCCCGCCTCTTGCACAGTGACTGCTGGACATGGGTGCCAGTGACCCCGTGACCCCAAAAGAAATGGTAAACATAATGGATGGATGGATGATTAAAGTTCTTCTGAAGAACCACATTTGGGAAAACTGTTAAACAGTTTCCAACAGACGTGAGTTTATCAGTCGAGCCCCTTTTCTGTTTCAGAACCGTTCAAAGACGTTTATTCTCCCAGGCGGCGCCGGTCTGCCTGCTGCCTTCCTCTGTGACGCACCGCTTCACAGGCTGCACGTGACCCGTGGTATTTTCAAATGCATCAAACGCAGGAACAGTGGACGTGGAGAACGCTTGGAAAATAACCACGCTGAGCAGAAAAAGGTTTTCCAGCAGTTTGCCTGTTTAATCAGCAAATGTCATTATTGGTGCAAATAAAAAATATTCAAACAGAGACATTAATTTACAAGTTCAACAAATGAACCCCCTCCACGTTCAGCTCGTTCTGTTCTGTGCCTGAAACTTGCACCAAGTCAAGATTTTTGATAAGCTGACAAGTTATGAACGACTTATGGAAGCTCGTCAATAACAAATAAAAGACTTAAGTTAAAAAAAAAAAGTTTGTTGAAATAGATGAGTGGCTCTATATTTTAAGATCAATTAAATTAAGTCCATTTCAAAACTGATTTATTTTAAGTTGAAAATGAAGTTTTGTTTTAGACTTTCAACAAATCTGTGAATGGAGCAAAAGTTTTACTCATGACTCAAAATGCAAAGGATGTGGAATTGTTCACTCCTTTTTATTTATTTGTTGGCGTGACGATGCAGATTATTTGATTTCTCTCAAAGTAAAAACTCATGTTCTCCCTGAAACAATTCTCCAACATTTCAAACATACATATTTATTATTTACACGATAAAAAACTTCAAGGGTTTTAGCACAAACTCCCATGAACAAATCAAAATGTTTTAATTTATTTAATTTTATCTGTAGTGGTGAATCCTCAGCAAAAAGATATTAGTGAGGCGGGCATTCATTTCCAGATTCAGTAACCACACAAATTTCATAAACTGCATTAATTTTCTGTGATTACAATAGGAAATGTGTTGCTTCATATTTAATTTATTGTTGTTTTGTTTGTTTGTGTGCACAAACCTGTCACCTGTTTTCTTCCTCGTGCGGATCGAGGTGTCGTGAAAAACGTTCCCGTCTAATAAATCAAGAGAAACGGACACCTCCCACCCGAACAGTGATAATTGGACCACCTCAGTGCACGACTAAATCAATGAACACAATGCGAGAGCGATGGCAGATTGCCAAACATTCGCGCTCAAAATTGTTTGGATCTGTAAGTTTTTTCACTTTTAAATAAATAAAAAAAACTCAAAGTGAAGAAATTATAGAAAATATCATATGCATCATTAAATAAAAGTTCCAAACAGGGATCGAACCTTTGACCTATCACAGTCACACATGCACGCAGCACCACAGAACTGGTGGAATAGGAGCCGACCACGTAGGAAAAACATCCCACTTTCTGTCTCTCCTCCTCAGTTTCCTGTTCTGGTCTCCTCTGTCTGCTCCAAATGGATCTGAACAGAACATCTCCACAACATCTGCTGCAGCTGTTCCTGTGTTTGAGCTCACGTCACATCTGGTGTCAGCGGTCGTATTAATGCGTTAAAACCACTGACTCCCCAAATGAATTTCTATTGGAGTTGGCTGTTCAGATCACTGGACATGTTCCGATCCGATCATGTTCTGAACTCGAGTCGCTGAAGGGTAGTGCCCCCATAACAGTAAATATGTAAAAAACTGAAAACGAATCCCTAAAAATAATTTTAAATACCAGACTGAACATTGTTGGCAAAATAGTTGAAAAATACACAGAACAAATAAGTAAACAAGTGATTTACGTGATTTATTAGGAGGAACTACTTTGTGGGACATATGTATTCTTCAGCCCTATGACTGGCCGCTACTGCTCATCTGACTGGTCGTCACAGGGGGGTCTCTCTCTTGGATAAGGCTGTGCTGGTGGGACCTTCAAACTGTAGTTTGATGGCCTGTTTGAGATTAAGCTGTGGGTCTTTGGTTGTCATTGTGAAACCCCCACTATCTGTCAAGGCACTGCAGGTTGGGGTGGGGGTAAAACTGTAACAAACAGGTGACAAAATGTTCTGGGTTAGAGAATCCCAAGTTTCCCGTTGTGACGGGCTCTGCAGCCTATATGGGTAGTCCAAAGGAGGGTTCTCTCTGTTTTTAGCACCTAGGGGGGTGTCTTGGCCTGGTCTTATCCCAAGAGAAGCCATAACTGAATGCCATTTATCACCAGTGTAAGGAGTCATTTCTGCCTTAATCAGGTTGGAGCTTTGTTTGATTATTTTGTCATGATATTCAAGTCCAGACGAAAAGCCTTTTTGGGAGATTTCACAGTTGTGCACCATAGCTGTGACTGTGCAAATGGTGGGAGGAGGGATGCCTTTGGACTTCCTTTGGCTGCTTCCATACATGCTGCCCATGCCCGAGCTCCCTGGTGGAGGGAGGGTGGAGTGGCGGCTACGGCTGCGAGGCAGTGAATGTTGCTGAATCTGTTGGATAAAGCTGAGGCTGTCAGCAGGTACTGTCTGCACCGTAGCCAGGGAGTGGCAGGTAGACGAGGTCTGGGAGCTTTGCATTGAGTGAAACCGTTCTCCAGTGGAACCAGGGGAGGATATTGAAGAAGACGAGGTAGTGGCTGTCACTTCAATTCCATTACTCTCTGACATAGCCAAGGAGAGGCTCTTGTTGGGTTTTGAAGGAGATACAGTACTGGACCTAGGCAGTAGGCCTAGATATGGATTAGCTCCATAGCTCTCCAAGATTCTGACAATGTTAAAATGTCCATGTTTCCCTGCCACTTTGACCAAACTGCGGCCATATTTATCTATGTGATTGGGATTTGCACCTTTTTCTAAGAGCATTTTCACAATGTTGGCGTGTCCCTCCTGGGCAGCGATGCTCAGAGCTGTTGCTCCCTGATGACAGGCAAGGTCTATATTTACACCGCTGGCTTCTAGGAGACGATGCCCTACTTTAGAGTTTCCTGTCCAAGCCACAGAATGCATTGGTGGTCTCCCTTCTGCATCTTGTGCATTGGGGTTTGCCCCATGTTTTAAAAGTAAATCGATAATCTCCACATTTCCCTGCCAGGAAGCAACCTGAAGTGCTGTGCGGCCCTCCGAGTCTCGGGACTCAAGTGGCACACCTCCTTTCTCTATTAAGAGAATGGCCATATCAAGGCGACCGTCAAGCACCAAGAGGTAAAGCAAGGGCCGTCCCTCTGAGTCCCGCACATCAGTATCAGCCCCTCGCTTCATGAGCAGCTCTGCCACATCAGTATGGCTCTCCAAGAAGGCTGCACTCAGTGCAGAGTGTCCATCATAGGCCCTGTGGTCAATAGGAGAACGTCTGTCAAGCAGTAGCTTGACAGTGCTCCAATGACCTTCCTGAGCTGCTAGTATAAGAGGCGTGCGTCCTTCAATGTCCATCTCTCCAACACGTGCCATGCTTCCTTGATCTGTCAGTGTTGCACAAATGTTTCGATGGCCTTCACAGGCAGCAGCATGCAGTGGAGTCCAGCCAAGGTCGTCTTTATGGTTTTCATCGAGACCTCGGTCCAGTAAGGCACGAACAACCTCTAAGCTGCCTCTTGCTGCTGCCGAACAGAGCGCTGTCCTGCCTTCGCAATCAATCGCATCCACGTCTGCACCCCAGAAAAGCAGCTTGGACACAGTTTTCATGTGACCCATTGCTGCAGCTGCCAGAAGGGGAGTGACCGCAGCTGCGGCAGAAACACTCCCATCAGGGCCAGCTGTTTCATCCACATCAGCGCCAGCTTCTAACAAGAGCTCAACTACATCCTCATGGCCTTCATAGGCTGCAAGAAGCAATGGGGTCATTCCATCATGATCTCTGTGCCCTGGATCAGCTCCACGCTCCAGTAAGAGACCTGCTACCTCACCAAAACCTTTGATTCCTGCAGCTGTTGGGACACAGAGGGCAACAACTGATAAAGCAGTACGTCCATCTTTGTCAGCTATGTCAACTTCTGCATTGTGGTCCAGTAGTATCTCCACAGTCTCGTAATGTCCCATGTAAGCAGCAGCAATAAGTGGTGTGCAGCCCTTACTGTCAGCTTTATTCACCTGTGCCCCATAATCTAGGAGAGTAAGGACAATTTCCTCATGACCTCCCCATGCAGCAGCTCTGAGAGCAGTCCGTCCCTCACTGTCACATCCATTTACGTCTGCCCCTGCATCCAGAAGTAAGCAAACAGCCTCACAGTGTCCTCCCCAAGCTGCAGAACGCAGTGCTGTCCAGCCTTCATGATCAACATGCTCCATCATCTGCACTGCTCTCTCTGTGCTTAGACTTTTAGCCCATTCAAGGAGGACAGATAGCACTTTGACATGACCTTGCCTTGCGGCTAAGGTCAGAGGCGTTTGACCCTGATGATCACTGATCAGTGGGTCAGACATATGTCTAAGAAGAATTTTAGCAATCTCTGCAGAACCATCTTGAGCTGCTCTAGCAAGTAAAGTCTGTCCTGGAGAAGTAAGCTGGTTCACAGAGACACTGCTGTCCAGCAGCTTCTTTATAGATGCCTCTATCTCAGATACTTGTTGTAGTTCATCTTCTTCTTTACCTATGCACTTTGTTCCAACACTTGAATTTGCATTAGAAATGCAGCCTGGTGAGACAAGTCCACTTTTTATTAACAGCTGAGGGACTTCCTGGCCAACCGAAGCAGGAAGGTGAGTGAAGCATGTGGTGAGGGTCTGACTGCAGCTGGGGGTAAGAGCTGGCACACCTGTCCATAGCATCCACAGTGCCAATAACGAGGGGTTTTCTTTATGGTGACCTGAGCAAACTAAGTGCATGGCAAGCTGACAAGTGCTCTCAGCATCCAGGTGGGGTCCCTGTAAGGTCAGAGACATAGCAAGCATGCTGTGACCCCCAGTCCTGCTACAAAGGTACTTCTGTGTGCAGTACTTAACGTCAGTCAGCCACTCGGTGAAGCTGGCATGAAAAAGGAGTTTGGTTCCTTCAGAGCCGTTGATCAGGAGAGGAGACAATGTTTGAAGTTTGTTCTGGAAGTCCTGGATGCTGAGTGACGTGTCCTGAGTCCAGACTGCTGTGAACAGCTGCTGAGGTGTGAGGGGCAGTGGAGATGCCAAGAGAACATCGAAGAGAGGCTTGACGTTGACAAAGAGTCCCCTGGGGAATAATCTCTGGCAGAGCCACAGGTAGAGTCCATTAAGAGTCCCGGGGATGTCCCGGATCTCCCGCAGTCCCACCAGCCCAGCTGCCACGCCATCCAGAACACGCTCCAGAAAGAGAAAGCAGCCACCACTCTTGATGTGCAGCAGATTCAACATGTCCGCAGTGTCGGAGGTGAGCTGACGACGTAGTGCTACTTCTTCATCCAGGCGACAGAGAATGTACTGCTGTACGTCACGGACTGCTGGTGGCTTCCTTAGATCGTCCAAGCAGAGCTTCCGGAAACCTAAAAGAGAAAAGGTGTTGTTTTTACTTTCATTGTCACAGTTTATTAAAACAACATTGTTTAAAATTTTACAAGACTCATATTGGAAATTCTTGCCCTTTCAAGAGAAAACACAGAATGCCCAAAATAAGAACACTAGAAAAAGATTGAGCCCAAACCAAAGAAGGCTGTGCTAATGCGGAAGTCAAGATTATTAATGATTTTGAAACAATGAATCACAACAAAGGGTGGCATGGTGGCGCAGTTGGTGGAGCTGCCTCCTCTCAGCGAGAAGGTTGCTGGTTCAAATCTCTGCCCGGGAACCTTCTGGGTGGAGTTTGCATGTTCTCTCCGTGCTGTGTGGGTTTTCTCCTGGTACTCCAGTTTCCTCCCACAGACCAAAAGCATGCATGTTGGACTGATTGGTAACTGAATGGTTATTTGTCTTGTTTGTCTGTATGTGTCCCTGTGATGGACTGGAGACCTGTCCATGTGTCCCTGTGATGGACTGGAGACCTGTCCAGGTGTCCCTGTGATGGACTGGAGACCTGTCCAGGGTGTCCCCTGCCTCTCGCACAGTGACTGCTGGATATGGGCACCAGTGACCCCCATGACCCAAAAAGTAAGAAGCGTGTAAATGATAATGGATGGATAGATGGATGGATGGATGGATGAATCACAACAAAAATACAAATATTTAAAGAAACTCAATGTCAAATTACTGATGGAACACCCTACACAAGGTTCTGCAGTTGTGACCATGTTTGGCACCACTATTTTCCAACAGAATGCCTAATGACGCCTGTTACAACGAGCGTGTACAAACCTGAGAACATCTTGCACAAATCTTTGTTCTGGCGGCGGACCGAGCAGACCAGCAGCAACCAGCTGGGCAGCAGATGTTGATTGGCAGCCAAAAGCTCTGCAATGGACCCACTCTGCCCACTGCTTTCCCCTGGCCTGTAGTGAACATCCAGGGCGTCTACGACTACCATCAGGGTCTGGGCTGGAGGAGGGAGGTCCAACAGAGGTTCCAACACTGCTCTAAGAATACACAAGGAAGAGGCAGAGAGAGGAAAAGAGATTAGGTCAGCACTGTGAAAACATGGAGAAATGTGGGCGGATGATGGAGTTGAAAAGAATGGCAAGAATGTAAGTTGTTCTTTTTTTTTAATTGACTGACAGTGAATTAGAATGATCGGCACGCCGACGCTAAATGAAACAGTTCGGATCAATAAAAGAGCAGCTAGGTTGTCATGACCTCAGGCTGAAATATTTTACTGCACTTTGATTGGTTTCTATTTCAGACATTAGAAACAATCTGAGAATAGCTCCCGTTCTCGTAGACTTATTGTCAGTTTGAAACAATAAAACAACCAAAGGAATGGTAATTCAAGAAACCTCCAAACAATTAGAGAACTGTTGATTTATATTTAAAAAGTCTTGTCAGTGTTGGCCAGGCCTGTTGCTTGAGGACCACGGTCCTGCAGGATGAGATCATTTCCTGCTTCAACACACCTGCCTGGATGGATGGATGGATGGATGGAT